CCTCCTGAGACTACAGACTGCAGTCGCTGCCTGAGCTGGGGGCGGCTGGTGCAGCCTGGGCAAGGGGGGAGCACAGCCGAGGAGCAGCCTCCCTGCCTCAGGTAGTTGGTTGTGTCCCAGAGCAGATGAGCCACCCAAGAGTCCACTCAGGACCTGGTGTGGGTGTCTCTAAGCATAGCCAGCTCTGCCAACATGTTACTGGAAATGTCCCAGGATAAGAGGAGCAGCTTTATTCTTCTCCTCTAATGGGGGCTCCTCTCCCCACCCCCACACTTTGTGTGCAGGTGAAATTTGCCAGCAAGACAACTGGGGCATTTTGCAAAATAGAATGGGATCACTACATAATCTCATGTGCATATTTGAGGAAGTTTTCCTATGAAAAATAGATACTTTAAACACACCTTCAACCACACACACACACATTGTTTTTATGAGAGCCGATTAACAAATGCTAATTCATTCAGGCATATCTCCACTGAATTACTGTTTCATTTAATTGCAGGGGAATTTTCCATTACTAAACTCTCCCTTGCTGATTTTTTTTGCATTATTTATATATTTTTCAGTTTCACTAATAGTGAGGTTGGTATGTGATATTATCTGCTCTTTGTGCGTCTTAAATTTCTTTTTCATCTAAAATGTTTCCTCATTCTTGCAGCTCCACGTAGTCTGGGAGAAACATCATTAAAAGCAGACAAGATTTGACACATAAATGATTGAAAAGGGCACTGGCTGAATTAACCCGACAGGAGGGCACCTTGTCTGCCGGTGCTGCTCTCGGTTCAGGCGTGCACGTGTGCACGAGGGTGCCTCCACTCTGGGCCAGTGTGGGAATATCTTCCTGCGTCAGGGAGTCCCGCGTCTGTCCGTGAAAAGACTGTGGGTGCACAGCTAGGAACGAAGCCCACAGGGGCTTTAATAATAAACACGCAATCTCTTTATAAGTCCCGAGAGCGCAGTGCATAGCTCCGGCTCCCTTTTCATGGATGCGAATCAGGACTCGGACATCTAGATGTCAGAGATTCAGACCAGCTGGCTCCCAAAGGCCGTGCCTTCTTTTGTTCCTGGAGAAGTAAGGGGTTCCGGTGATGGTTAGGGGTACTTAGGGGAGGTGGTAGGAATCGTGTTCAAAAGGATGTGTTCCAAAGTAGAATTTCAGTTTTCTTATATTGAATGGCCAAAGTTCCATGCACCTGGCTACCTTCATTTCTGAAATAAGTTTGCTCATTTTGATTCTCCAGCCACCTTTTCCCTGCCCCCACACAGCCTACTTTCAGCTTTTCTTTTCTTTCTTTTCTTTCTTCCTTTCTTTCTTTCTTCCTCTTTCTTCCTCCTTTCTTTTCTTTTCTTTCTTTGTTTCTTTGTTTCTTTCTTTCTTTTCTTTCCCTTGTTTCTCTTTCACAGAAACAAATTCTGGAGGATGTGAATGATTAAACTGTTTACTCTGAGGTTTAGGTATGAAAAGACATGTCACTGTAAATAAAGTTTCACCTTTATACTCAACTCTATCAATAATTACAGAACAAGGATGACTATTAGTAAATCTCTTACAATTAGCTCTTACAAAAATAATGCCATTTATTCTAAGTATATTGGATTCCATTGATTTTACTTTACACAAAAATTAATTACAAAGTCGAGTAACCTCCAAAATAAAGTCAGCATATGAAGGGATTGTGAATGTTGTGTGTCCACGGGAAACATAAACCCATGAAGCATGTTCCCATTAAAATGGGAGATATGAGGCCCTAAATGCAAAGTTTTGACATACTATTATAGGAGTAGACATTCTCGGTGGAACAAAAAAATCTATTAATAATTATAATTCTATGAGATTGATTTTTGTGCTGTGTTCCCTCACTTCCTTTGTCCTCTTCAGTAGAATTAGAAGAGTCCTTTTGGGTATAGATTGATAAAATTAATTAACTTTCCTTCCACTCCAAAAATAAGTCCCAAATAAATGCTTCCAATAAACATCAAAAAGTGTCAATTAGAAATAATTACTTCTTATCAATCAGTGGGGCAATTAAAGTGACAAAGCTTGAAAAGATACTTATCTGAAAACTAATTCACAAGGTAGCTAAATTATCTCCTAATTAACTTGCGCGGAGGAGGGTGGGAGGAAGGAGCATCTGGAAACAAAGATGAACTGAGGAGCCCTGGAACCTCTTCAAGCCCTTTCAGACCGTCTCCGTCCCAGGAAGACCTTACTTTCGACCCAAGCGAGAAACCTGGGAAGAAAGCAGGCCCTCCTCAAACGCCTTTGGCCCCTTTCCGCCTTCCCAAAACCCGGAGGAGCGCTCAGGGCTTCGCGTCTCGGATCTGGGGAGCTAGAGACATGCCCCTCCGCGGTCCCAAGTCTCGTTTTATCACTTGCATAGCCCGATTTTCAGGAGCTCGGCGACAGGGCTGAGGCAAGTTGTTCCACATAACTTTTAATGACAGCCCGCTTGCTTTATTAAATCCTCTTCCGCACTGACACACTATTGTTTACATTAATATTTATGTGATGTTTATCACTTCCTATACCTCTTTGAATATTTAAAGAGTGTTTTTACTTTAGAGGATCTTTGGTCCCCGATGCTACAAAATTCCCAGTGGTTTTTACGAAATGTTCCGCCCATCGCTAACCAGCGCACACCAGAACAATTCGATCTTCGCTCTCCACATCCCTTCAGAATAAAGCTGCAGAAAACAGGCATGAGGCAAGATCAGCCGACAGGGAGCCGAGGACCGGCTGGCGGTCGGAGCGCAAAAGCGCTCGGGACACTCGGGAAAGAGCACCTCGGCTCTTTGAAAGCGGTGCGCCCGCCCTGCTCCCGCGAGCGGCCGGGCGGCCTTAGCCCCGTCCTGCCCGGGAGGAAACTTAGTTGGGGGTCTCCAGATGAAGGCCTTTAGAAATGGAAGTGTTGGAGGAAAGAAGCCGCTAGCACCTAGGCGAGAAAAGCGCTCGCAGAACCAGGAGGAGTGAGTTTATGAATTGAGCTCTACATTCAGGGCAATAGCGTTGAGTAAACTGATGGGAAAGACAGGGTCCTCAGTCGGGTTAGCCCACACAGGGTTTAGAAACAAGCAGTGGCAGCCTTGAACCCTTTGGGCCTCATTTTAGGCAACTCCCTTTTATTTTATTAGCATCGCATTAAACTAAAGGAGAAAGTCTCATTCTCCCTCCCGCTCAGCTTTATTTCTTTGTTTGGAGGAGGGGGGGCCTCTCTGGCTCCCCTAGACTGAGAGAGACGGACCCCTCCGGCCGCCGGGTGCGCCGCTCCCTCCCCAAACCAAGGATCATTTGCTTGTGAGCACTCGAAACCCTTGCAACACCTGGGCCTGTTGCTGATTTAAAATAAATAAAAACGGTGTCCTTTTTCTTTCTATCTTTTATTCCCATTTATTCTAATGAGTGCTTCTAGAATGAAAATAAGTAGCGAAAACAAAATCAAGTCAGCCCAAGGAACTGCGACTTCCTCTTATGTCTCAAAGGATCTGGTCCAGCGCTGTAAATTCGGGGTCCGAGAGCACCTGCTACTAACACCGCCAGAAAGGTCAGGAGAAAGTCGGGGGGCGACGGGGTGGAAGCGCTGGACCAGCCTGGCATGGGATCCCGCACCCGGCTAGCGCTCGGCCTTGGAGACCGTCCTGCTCCCGAGGCGGGGCGACGCCCGGCATTGTACCCGATTTGGCTAAAGACTAACGGGCGAAAACATAGTTCTGGCCCCAGAAAGTGGTCCATGAGCGCGCGTGGCGCCCGAGCTCGGCTGAGCAAGGGGGTGCTGGGGCAGCCCCGCTCCGTCCCCCTGCTCCGGGAAGGGCCGCGAGGTCTCCGACCCGCGCCCGCGGAGGGATGGCAATGGGGGGTTACCGCTGACTCTGCCTCCGCCACGCAGCAAACCCGAATAAGAAAGAGCCCGGCGCCGCGGGCCTCCCCGCGCCCCACACCGTGGAGCCTGGGCCCGGAGATCCGAGGCTGCGCGCAAGCTGGACCTCCGCGCTCTGGCTAAATAGAGACCTCAGCCGCGCGCTGCGCGGATCCGACCCTCCTTATTATAACAAATGTCCCGTTTGCCGAGCGGACTTCATATTCGCCGAGAATTCATCTGAAATATTGATTTCCTCTCACTTCGCTGGCCCAAATCGATAGCGCTGCGCCCTGGCCCCATAAATCGCTTTCCCCGCGGCCGACCCGGCTCCATTCATCACTGCGGCCGGGCCGCGCCTCTGCCCGCTGTCCACACTTGCTGCGCGCCGAGTGGCCGTGCCCAGCGCGCCCATTAGCCTGGTCCTAGAGCTCCTTCCGGACGAAGACCTGCACCCCCCAAATCTGGCCCGGCCTGGGCCAGGAGAAGGAGAGGGCAGGTGCCTCGGTCAGGGGCTCAGAGCGCCTTTGAAGGCCCTGGGCCCAGGCGCCAGTGGGGAAGGGGTTCGGTCCCGCGGGCAGCTCAGTCCTTGCAAGCCGAAATCCCCGCGTGGCTCCCCGCCTGGCCCGTGCTCGACCAGGAGGAGTCCGAACCCCAGGCTCACTCATGGCTCTCAGGCCCCGAACCACGGGCTACTTTCCCGTTGGGTTTAAAGGTGCGGGGGGCTCACAGTCCGGCCAGGAGAGCTGGCCCATCTCTAGGAGAGCTGCGCGCATCCGGACAAGGGCTTAGTGGTCGAGGCAAGGGAACTGCAAGTCCAGCAGGGGCCAGCCCACACTCACGGGCCATGCCAGCCAGGGGTGGGCGTGAGGGACAACTCTCTAAACCCACGAAGGGCTCATCGCCGCTCCGTGTGGTCCGCACAAACCAAGGCCTGCGGAGGCAGCTCCGCCGGACCCAGGGAACCTCAGGGCCGAAAGCCGCACGCCGGTCGCAGCTGGGAGACAGGCCCAAGGCGACCCAGCTGCGTCCCCACGCAGGAGGAACCCACGATCCCGGCGCGCACGCCCCCAGCCCTGCCGACCCGAGCGCACGCACGGACGCACAGCGACGCGGGGCTCAGGGTCCAGCCACGCGCGTCCTTACCGGATCTGATGGAGTTGTGAGGCATCGCGGAGGATCGCTCGCGGCCCGCGGCGGGCTCAGGGAGTCCTCACGCAGGTCCCTGCCGCATCCGCCGCACCGCTGCCCTGCAGACCCGGGGAAAGGGGCATGAGAGCATGTCTGCTGCCTTAGACCTCCGACCAGGCCCTGCCCCCTGGCCTTCGTAGCGCGGCTAGAGTCGAAGGGTTTAGAAGTGTGGGCAATCTCAGCCTGGCCTAGCACACACTTGGGGGTCTGCCACCAAAGTCCCAACTCCAGCCCGGGTGCGCTCTTCCTCTGCTGCCCCAGCCTCACCCAGTTTAACTTGGGAGGGAAAAGGCTTCGTGGGACCCTCTCTTTCTCGAACCAACCCTCTCCCCTGGTCAGCTTTCAGCCAGCCCTGTGCAGCATACCTGGCCGGCAGCCGCAGGCCCTCAGTGCCTGGGTCCGCCGCAAGGGTGCCCTGGGCCTGCCTTTCTCCTCGATCCCAAGTTTGTTCCCATCCGCCAGGCATCGCCACCGGTTTTATCCCGCCAGGGCCCTGAGACAAGGGTCTGGAGAGGCTCGCAGCCCGCCGATTGGCTGGCTGGGTGCAGGGGAGTGCGGGAAGGGGAGGATTTTGCAAGGGGGACATGGCTGAGTGGACTCAGGAGTTAGAAACATTCTCTGGAGCTTCTGTTTCCAGCGGAGAGGAGAGGGAGGCAGCCGAGTCCGAACTCAACGGGCCTGGGAGTGTTCAAGGGTTGGGAGATGGAGACCCCAGGGCCTGACGATGAGGGTCTCTGTGCCCTCTGGGGGCCACTGGCCAGCAGAGGGGAGAGGCGCAGCTGCTTTACAACATGCTGTCCTCTTCTCCTCACAGGCAAGGGGCCTTTCTCTCACAAGAGGGAACTTTTGTTTCTATTCCTGCTTCTTAAGGCTGAAGCTGCTCACCTGCTCACCACTGGTGTGGACTTCTTCCAGGGGGAGCCCTGCAGAGCCCCTGAGCCCCTTCCCTCCTTACCACCAGGCAGGGCCCCCACACTCACACTACCAGGTTAGTGACAATGGTCACATAGCCAGCTTCACAAGGACCCCTCTCTGCCAACACACACATAGCACCAGCACTCTTTCTTGTTCCTCGGGGATTTTGAACTTGGGAGAAGAGTCCAGAGGACTGGCAGTGAGAGCCTAGATTCCACCTCGATGTGGAAGGGTGTCAGAAGGGACAGGACTGGGCTGACTTCTGGCCTTGTCTGCAGAAGCCAGCAGCCTTGGGGAGGTGAGGGCCTGGGTGTGGATAAGAAGGGTCTCTTGTGTGGGGCCAAGGGTCGCTTCGTGGTGGCAAAAGCTGCCCCTCCTTCCTCAAGGACAGAAGGGGGGTTTAGGCAACACTGTAGAGGGAGGCAAGGCCTGGATGCCCCTTGATCTCAGGCTAGGCTCCTGGACTCAGGGTCGCAGGTGAGAGGACATCGGTGCTACCGGGCCCTGAGGGGCTGTGCTGCCTGCAGAGGCCGCTCTGGATCAGGGGGGCGGGAGGCACAGGAGTGAGAGGGCAGGGAAGGGACCGCGGAGATGGCTAGTTCGGGCCTGTGTGTGTGTGTGTGTGTGTGTGTGTGAAGTCATGCAATTTTTCTTAATTAGAAAAACGTTCTATCTCTCAGGCGAACCCACTTGCTCCTCCCACCCAGACTTCCTCATTTCTTGATTTGGCAGGAATTAATCATTTTGTGGAAAAAGAATACGTATGACCCTAAATGTATCCTCCACATTTGTGAATGTCTCTAAACAAAACAGTAGGTGCTCACTGTTTTAAAAGTCTCTCTGACGTTGTTACTTGCCATCGCTCTGTTTCCAGATGTGTAGCGCCCACTCTCTGGTCGGACCACAGGGAGCAGCTGGAAGGACGCTGAGATGGAAGCGGGCCTCGCATGGCGTCGGTCCCACCACCAAGTGGCAACTGGCCCCCTGCTTCTGCAGGGCAGCGTAGGGGCGTGCATTGTCCTGACCAGCCCCTGTCCCAGGAGTTCCGCAAACCTCAGAGGGCCGCCCACTGAGGGGCTGAGGGGCTGAGGGGCTGGGAGACACCAGCAGTGCTGGAACTCAGGCCTCCGTCTTGCTCATGCTCTTCTCTCCTCAACAAAACAAGCCTCTTCCTTCCCTGCCCCACCCCCCATTTTTGGCAAAAGGTCTCAAAGGACAAAAACCCAGCAAGTCATCAAAATGTTCTGTTCCTGTCCCATTTGTAAGCTTATCTTTAAAAAGTCGTTTTAATATGAAAACTTAGTGTACAAAACCTACCTGCACTCACCTTGAGAGCAGCCCTTCCCCAGACTGCAGGTGGCAGGAGGAGGCAGCTGAGCAGAGAAGTCCTTCCGGCCCCACAGGCAGGAGGAACTCGGGGAGCCAGCTGCTCTGCTCCCGCCCTGCTTTCTGGTCTCAGTGGGGAACAGGCCTGGGCCTTTGCCTGTCCTAGTGCTCTTCAACCGAGGCCCAGAAAAGGGTTATTAACAGCACCCACCTGCTTGGGGCCAGCCTCCTTGTCAGCAAAATGACGAGGTTGAGAGAGATATATAATATTATATATAAATATATATTTATATATACTTATATTATATATAAATATATATATATGGTGTGTGTGTGTATTCCTTTTATCATGCTTTTTTCCCTCAAACTTTAAAAAAAATCCATGATTCTTGGTTAAGAATGAAAAATCTCAAGCCTTCTTTTGATGTTACTTAACATTTTGAAATAAATTTAGCATCACGAGTAGGAGACTCTCGGATCAATGGGAAACTCAGAACACGCTTTTTAGAATCAACACCTTCTTCTTGGGCCCTTCGCTGACTCGATGCCTGTGAGCCTGTCGTGCTGAGATTGTCGACCAGCAACCTGTGGTTTAAGCCTAGTTACAATTTTTTAACCCAGTGTTTTTCCCAGAAAATTTATTTAGTTGTCAATATGAAAATAAATAGAGAAGAGAAAGTAACTCTGGCTTGCCTTTAAAATTTTGACAGATCTGGCCACAGATCTGAGTGTTTCTGTGTGGAAGTGAATGTTCTTTTCAGGTTAACATTCGAAGAGTTTAATATCCGTCCCAGGCAACGAACGGCCTATGTCCAGTGAGTAGTCTGTGGTTTTCTGATTTTAGGTTGATCTGCTGAGCTTTCTAAAGATGGTCTTTTTTCTGAGGCTCAGCTGAAATCCACTGAGCAGGTGGGAGGGGTTGTCAGGGGCCAGGCGGAGGGTGATTGTTCCCTGGACGTGGAAGTTGGAGTGCTAACACTGACTGTCCCAGGCAGACCAGGATGAGCTGGTCATCTAGCCGATGGAGCTGGGAAGCAGGTGGTTTGGGAAGCAGCTCGGGGTTTACACTGACTACGGGCGGTGTTCAGCTGTGCAGCTGGAGTCCTGCCTCCTGACTCCGGCTGCCTGGCCCCTGAACTCCAGCATGGACCAGGTGCCCCAGGAGAGGCCAGCCTAGGGGGAGGGTTTCTGCCCCCAAGAACCCTTCTGGGTTACCTGCCCACCCCGCACCACGTGGTGAGGACCTCCTGGGACTCCAGTGCACTCTCTGGGCAGGAGATGGCCACTCCTGCTTTGAGCTGGGAGGTGAGTGGCTGGGCCCTGGCTCCCTGGGTTGGGCCCATACCTTCCTCTGAGCCCCCTTTCCCTCTTCTTTAGAATGTGGGTACATGTAGGTGTGGCCAGGGCAGGCCTGTCCTAGCTTTGCTGTCAGATGAAAGGAATTATGGATGCGAAAGCTGTTTGAAAGCTGCAGCTCTGCACAAAGTTAATTATTATTAGACAACAAAGGCAGGGCAGCACTTCCAAAAGGGCAGAGTTAAAACTGATCTCAAATTTTGCAGTAGAAGTCGGTTCCTTTAATCCTTTCCCCAAAGCACTATGAGTTTTTCAAAGAGCCACTGAGCCCCTGGGTGATGGACAGGTGATTTCCTGTGGGCAGGAAAAGGCCAGTGAGTGGGTGTAGGTGCAGGGTGGGTGTGGGGGCTGCATGGGGGCAGGGGTGTCTGTGAGGGGACCCAGAAAGAGGGAGCACAGTCAAAGGCAGAAGGGGCCCCACAAGGGCAGAGCCTCCAGGTGGCAGGGGTTTGCAGAGGGCAGAAGGGCTCAGGGCATGCTCTCCTCCCTGACCTGCCCAGTTGTGCCGCAGCCACACAGGATTTCCACCACGTCCCCACACCTCAGGAAATGTCCACAGCCTGCCCCCAGGCCGCCTGCTGGTGATGCCAGAGAATCAATCATTAATTATTCTGTGTTCCTCCCCTCCTCCCCTCAGGCTTTCAAAACCCAGAAATAGAAATACAGGTCCTGGCAGGTGAAAGGAAAGGGCCACCAGTTGTGGGAAGCACTTTGGAAAAAGCCACTGGTGGCATTTGTCCAGTTGGTGTTGGGCTGGAGAGGTGTCCTGGGCACACCTCTCTTGAGCTCCTTGACTGCCTGTAGCACCCTGGTGGCTGCCACCTGGGCTGTAGGGTGAAGACTGCTGTTCCCAGGCTTGTGCAGGACAGAGCCTCACTGGGGAGCAGGGAGGAAGGTGAGAGGAGAGGAAAGGGGTCATGTAGAGAGGGGATAACACAGGTCAGTAATAGTTTCTTTTTTTTTAAGTTACAGATGATGAGCTAGGTCCTTTTGCAACTTATTTTGCAGATGGGAAAACAGGGCCCCAGGAAAATAAGTACCGTGTCCAAGGTTCTCAGCTGCTGGGTGGGTGACTCAAAGTCCTAATGAGCACTGGTGACCCAGGCCTTAAGTATTGGGCATTCCGCTCTCCCAGCCTAATCCCTCCCTCCCCTGCACCCACACCCCTCCCTTCAGGAAGGTTCTGGAACCCAGGGAGTGGCCAGGGTGAGGTCAGACCCTGGTGGCTAGAACACTTCCGTGCACCAGGAGAGCGGTGCAGCTCACTCTGCAGGAATGCCTCCCCTCAGCCCAGCCCCTGCCTCCAGCCCCCAGGGGCCGGACTCAGGGACCCTCCCCGGCCAACTCAGGGCACCTGAGTGGGCTGCCTTCCTGACAGCTGTTCTTGGGGAGGTGCCAAGGAAAAACCCAGGCACAGGGCTCTTTGCCAGACTCAGGGCTGGCTTTGTTCTCCGTGGCCTTGGAATGCCAGAGGTCCCTGCTTTTGGCACAAACCCCAGAATAGAGCCTGCCCTCCCCTGACCCTGGGCAGTGCCCAGGGGCCTGAGGAAGGGACCGGGACCCTGGAGGCAGGGAAGTGGGACTGGTTGCCTGCCCCGGAAGGAAGGCTCCGCATCTGAGCACGGATCCTGGCCTAGGCTGCCTCCCAGTGAGACGTCTTGCCTTCTGCTGCAGACAGAGAGCCCCACCCCCTGCACCTGCAGGAGCAGCCCTGAGGATTTAGGGCCTTGTGCCCATGTTTTGTCTCTGGGCCCCCTACCCAGCGACAGGGCCACCCTTGGGGCCACAGGGCCCACATCTGGGGACAGACATGCCCTCGTCCTGAGGCAATGCTGCACATGGTGCTCATTTCCTTCCAATAACAGCAGTCATCTG